CATTATATACACATAATATATACAATATAAATTAAGACACAAGAGAAAAGCTTGCTTAACGAAAAGGCCTCCCTCAAGAGGTCCAAAGGCAGGTCGGGCTCTTTGGGCAGGATGGGGGAGCAGTGGGGGAACTGTCCAGTATTTGATGAAAGGGCATTTTCCATCATAAAATGCTTCCCACTTCCCTCGGGCTTTGCCATCCTCACGGCACCACGAGTCCTGAACATAGTCCCCAACCCATGAGTATTTGCTCGGTCCACCTGAGGAGGGGCTTCGCCCCCGGAAAGCTTATGGCAGCATAAAGTTGTAGCTTTTGAAGGGTCTGGGGGCATTTCCCCTCCCCACTGCTGCCGCCTCCTGTGGGGAAACCGCCCCTTCGCTGGGCAACCCACGCGTGGCCTCCCCCTTCCCTCCAGCAACTGCTCCCCTTCTGGTCCTCGGGAGTCTCCGCCACTGCAGCGCGGAGCCCCCAGGCCGAGTGCTTCGTGAGACGGGCAGCGGCGCAAGAGGCAGGCGAGCCGTTGCGGACAAACCGGCTGCAAACCAGGGAGAACGTCGGCCGTCGGGCGGTGGAGAAATGGAGGAGATGCAGAAATGGCACTGCTGGGAGCTGCTCTGTGGGGCTTCTCATTTTCCTCCAGGAGGGAAAAGGAGGCAGGGAGCCGGAATGGCTGAGGATCCAGTGGATCGCAAGGTTTGCATAATGGGGACAGGCACACGATCCCTGACCAGCCTGTCTGGAGGTGCCCAGTCTGTTTCCGCCTGCAGGAAAGGACAAGCCTGTGGGCCAGCAGGTGCCCCAGGCACAGTAGCACAGGAGGTGCAGCTGGAAGGGGCCAGAGGGCCATCAGGTCCAGTCCCTGCTCCGGGCAGGACTCCAGTCAGACCCTCCCTCTCGGGGGGCTGCCCAGTGACAGGAAACAGTGGTCCTTCCGAGTGACAGGGGGAAGATCCCGCCAGTTCCGATGAGGCCACGGAGGGCTGGGCAAACGTCACTCTCGCCCCAGAGCCGCTGAGCTCTGGAAAGCCCAAGGTCCGGGTCACGGAAGGAGGAAGCCTTTAAAATCTGGGCACTCCCCCTGCACACCCAAGCCTGTCTCCCTGCGGAGGCTGTGAGGGGGG